TTACAATTGACCACTTTGATACTCACTGACATCTTCAACAAAAGCATCCAGTGGTTTCTATCCAGCAAGTCGGACTCACTACAATTCTACAGCACATTAAAGATCAACACACCCAATTACCGCCCCATCAAAAGCGTCTCTTTGAGGACCAACTGGAGCTAGCTCTCCAGAATACCTCTGACACAGTCCATGAGGCCAAACCAACTCAAATTTGTTGACAACCTTCAAGAACCACCAAGCAACTAAAATCACATTACAAACACATTCTAGCCGGGTTATGGGCTCCAGGTCCAAGATATGGCAAATGTAAGCAAACTGGCCATAATGCCCGTACTTTCCCTCAGGGACACCATACTTCAAATGAGCTTGATGTGAATCCTTAGTAGATTAAAATTGATTATTCATTTTTTGTTTATCAAGATCACCCAATCCCAATCCTCACTACTCATATTTTCAAGTTAAGATCCTTACATTTGATTACTCACATCTTTTTCCAAACAAATAAAAATGACTCATTCAACTCCAGAGCTCTCAGAGTAATTTCTTTTGGATCAGTTCATGATGTGAGATTAGAAGACTGTTCATGATATCATTTGTTGGTTTGAAATTTGATAACCTAGAACTTGTGAATCACAAATAGGATGACCAAGATGATCAATCACAAGTCAGATGATTCATTGTAAGTGCTCATCTTGAGGCTGAGCTTATGTATAATAGATTGTTCAACTTTGAATCTTGATGGAGGCTGTCCTGTATGTAAGGTGCTTGAGGGTACCTAAGCAGACTTAGGATTTGGGGGGGTCTGACTAGCAAACAGAAGGGAGTTGAAATAGTGTGATCTAAGAATTAATATTAGTTAAAAATATATTCCAAGCAAAGCAAAAAGAAAAGAACAATGTAAGATTGAGAAGAACAAAAGTAGAGTAAAAAAGTAAAAAAGAACAACAACAACAAAGAATTTCAAATAAAGAAATTCAATCATAAAGGTTAGTAGCAGAAGAAGATCCACTACAACCAATTGAACAAAACACTCCAATGGCTCTCCAATGTTACCAAATTGCTTCAATGAGTTCAACATGCCAAAATTGATGAGAATGAAATAAAGTATCAAATACCCAACCTAGTTTTATTTTTTTGAGACAATTAGTTGCATAAAAGAAAAGTCCAGCTAAGTATGAAAAGATGGATGGAATGACAGGTTCTATTACAGAAGAAAAAAGGAAGTTCAGTCAAGTAAAAAATTACTTGAAAGATTAAGTTGAAATGAAAAGACAGAAAAAGAAAGAAACTCGACTGTAAAATTCAACTGTTTCTTGAGATCCATATAAGTATGATATATGTGCTTGTGGAATTGATGCTGAGCATACCATTGAAACAAAGTCAATGCATAGCAATGAATGGAACTTGCACTGAGCCAATCTCATGTTGGTCTGTGCTTGGGCTGTGTACCAAGGTACTTAAGCAGGAGTTTAAGTAGCAGCTCAAGTGATCATACACCTATTCTAAGTACTTAAGCACTTAAGTGAAGTCCTTGGGTACTTCATATTAAGTCCTTTAGGTACCCCAACCCGAATATAGGGGTTTGAGAAAAACAAAACTTGAAAGAAAATTGGCCAATCAGATTGACTTGCCAAGTCATTTCTGAAACTTACAGCCTATCCATAACCCACAAATGACTTATTAGGTTACCTTTATTAATAGGTGTGGTGTGTATAGACTTGTGTAATTAAGTTTTGTTTTTGCAGAGCAATTGTGACTGTGACTAGCCTGGATCAACTGCAGCTGAATATTTAGCCTAAAGCTTACATGATGCCCACAATGGGGAATTGGTGAATATTCCAAAGTTAACTTTGCAGCCAAAAAATTGCAACCATCTTTCCACCCTTGCACCCACTGTTCCACCCTCACACCTACCGTTCCACCCTTGCACCCACCATCTCTTCATTTCTTTCCACACTACAATCCTTTGTTTGGACTTGGTCATTTTCATTTTTTTTTGAATTGATCAATCCCAAGCTTCCTTTTGACTTGATCACTTTAATCAGTTTTTTCCCGATCAATCCTGAACCCATTCTTTTGACTTGATCAATTTTTTCGCTTGTTTACCACCTGACTACTTTGAAATAAAGATTAATAATGAATCAACTTCTTAACTTTAATGTAAAGAAATTTTGAGACAATCTTAAAGCGTAAAAAAAAGTTAAAAATTTTCTTGATTGATCTTATAGATCAATCACCACAACGTCTATAAACGTAAAGGTATACAGCCTATTGAGGATTCTTTGGGGTTACAAGAAGTAGAACAATGCCATTTTTCTTAGAATCAGGGTGGCTGCAAGAGCCCTGATTGCCCTTGCCTCCATAGTTGCGTTGGTTTTTTATATTATCTACATTTTTGATTTCAAAAAATCAAATTGTTTTTGCTTATACAACCTCAAAAAGTGCTGAAAATGTCAAAAAGAATGTGAACATGCTTGAAGCAGAAACTTTACCAAATTTCAGTTTAGAATAATTGAGGATTTTATCTTATCAAGATTGTTGTTTAACCACTCAAAAAGTTCCTTTTCTTAAATACAAGTCTAGGTCTAGGAGCTCTGCTAAGCTTTGTATCATATTCAATGTACCTTTCATGCCAGTAAAAAATTATGTGATTTTTATTTCTCTTTTAAGTTGTTCTATATCTCCAAGATTAGTAAGGTCATATTTATTTGGTATTGTGTTCTTATTTAAATCAGATTTTCCAAATGTCATTTGTGAATTTAATCATCAAGAGGTAATGAATATGATGAAAGGTTACATAAAGTTGCTTTCAAAGCCAGTGAACAGGAGAAATGCCCTTTTGGTGGATCAAATTGAGTCAGTGGTTTCTAATCTTTGTTATTTCATGATTATAAAGTATTTGTAGATATGTTAGAGCACCACCACAGGGTCTTGTGAATAGCAAGATACAGCTGAATTCCCATTTGTGTGGGAAAAAACTCAAGGTACCAGACCTTGTAAATGGCCTGTATGGTTGACGTGCTGAGTATGATTCTCCCTTTTCCCACCAGGGATCCTGGTCTGAGCATAACCAAAATAGCCCCAATGTGAAACGGCCATGGAAGCTTTCCTGTCAATTTGATTCAACAATACAATCTATCCTTGAAGATGATTGTTCTCATTATCTCACTAGGCCTGACTGGGCCATGTATCAATCTAACTTGCAAATTGTTACAAAGCCTTGGTTTTTGAAAAATTATACAATCTTCTGGGAAACTAGGCATACACATTATTTCCTGTCAATTGGGCTTTGTACACTTGCCCAATTGGGTCTTATTTTACAAGGGCTAGTGGTGGTGCTCTTAGGCATTGGATTTGGAGGCTTTCATCAATCAGGGGAACTGACAATACCCAATTTGGAACTTCTTTCAGAGTCTAGGAAGATTATCTTACATTAGTCCCCCAAATTTTCAAGATGTGGAAAATTTGTTCATTATCATCTACCATATCCACAAGGACATTTGAGATTCATTGGGACTCCTATCATCATTCAACAATTTCCCAATACTTCAGCCTCACCTATCAAACTCTTGAAATCTTATTTACATTTAAAACATTAAAAATATTATTGCTTTGCCAGAGTTGTTTTTGACTTCTCAAGGTCTTTCTCCCAATTGAGCTTGGTTTATATCAAGATTTACCTTCATTTTGACAAAAGTTTATCAGGTCATTCTTCATGTTCTGCTGAGGCCACTGATTCAGCTCAATCTGGGGCATCCAATTTGGACTATAGCAAGAGCACTGGTTGTTGGTCATCTGAGGCATTCTTGATTTATGTACATCTGTGTGTTTCATTGATATTACCAGAGAATCAGAACTGTTTAAATGGGAATATGTCTCATGTTGGAGCATATGTGGTGTTGACTAGTGACTCTTCAATTGAGTTGTCAAACTGGTCAATGTCTTTTAGCCTCTATCTTTTCACTATCCAATGTCATTTTCTTCCTCTGTGTTTGGTTTATAGATTTTATTTCCTGTTTGGGTTAATGGCTACAAGCCTAATTCTGGTCTCTTTTATGACAAGTAATGATTTTCAAGAAAGCTGTCGTCTTGCTTCCTGTGTTTGTTGTTTCACCCTCTCCTACTTCAACACTCTGATTGAACACTTTTTATAGGTGGTTCAGAGAGGGTGTTTGTTGTGATCAGCAATCATTATAAAACCTATAAATTAGCCTTAAGAGGTTTACCCACATATGTCCATTCCATCTTTGTATGTTCTTACACTACAGGAACAAATTAGTCTAAAACCCAATTGAAGAGAGTTTCAGTGACTGGGTTCACAAGTTTCTTCAATGGCAGGATTTATTTGCCATAAGTTTTCTGAGTCCCCTCAAGTCAGGATTTGATCTACCCTCATATGTATGTAGGTAGCAACAAGCTGCTTGTCTATCCACTCATCAGCATACCCTTCCCTACAATTCACCCCACAGATTGTTGTCATACCTTGTCCCCCACAATCAAAAAAAATCCTTCAAGTCCCTTTCCAACCTGAGACCTTATAATGGAGATGAAGGAACTAGCTGGCAGAAGGGTTTGACTCAGGTCAATGGTCTACCAAGTCACATACATGAGATCAGGAAGTTGTAATCTGCCATATGTATTATGTACCAACAAACTCTGGAATACACTGACTCAAGGGTAATCAGAAAACCTATGGCAAATAAGTCCCACAATTGAAGAAAGTTGCAAAACCAGTCACTGCAGCTCCCTTCAATTGGGTTTCAGACCAATTTGTTCCTGTGGTGTTACTGAGTATTTGTAAGTTCTCTTATTCACATTTCATATCAACTTTACATTCATCATCAATCCAAAACAAACCTGGCATCATGCAATTCATTTATTCTTAACATCAAATCTCTAACCAAAGACTAAGTCAAATCAAAGAGAAACACCAATTGGCCCTCAAATCTGATTCAACCTTGACACCAAATTATATATATTATTGGAGTACCGTGGAAAAAGCTGAGATGTCCGAGTTGGTCCAAGGAGCCAGATTTAAGAACGCAGCACTGTGGTGCATCATAATTCCTGGTAGGGAAACCTGCGTGGGTTCGAACCCCACTCTCAGCATACATTTTTGCTCGTCCGTGCGGCAAGGATGCGCGAGACAAGCTAAATGGTGCTCACGTTACCCAAATTGATCAAGCAGATATGTACTTCATAACACGTCACGCAAGGATGTGCATAGGTTTTGAGTGCAAGAATTCTACGTGCATACTTTGATGTCTTTTTCACAATCTCACACGGGGATGGGGGCCTCGAAAGAGCTTTACTATGGAGACCGTTTGATAAACTTTTAGTGAGGGTTCAATATCTCTTGATTGATCAAAATTCTCGCGAGATCCAGAGTGTAACTCGATCCCGATTCTCGGACTGCTGAAGATGTAAGTGAGAGCTACCATAGCCGTGCCCGGGTTTTCCAAGTGACACAAAGTGAGGAACCAGAAAGACAAGCCCTTGCAAGAGGGTTGGCCCAGAAAGATGTTGGGTCAAATGCCAGTACAACAAAGAACATTGTAAAAAACACTTATTCTTCAGTCGTCCGTCTGCGAACCAGCCCATCCACCTCGAAGACTCACCTACTCATTGGCTTGTGAAAATCGGCTCTATTCAAAGAATTTTTGGAAATTCTTCAGGCACTGCTTCAGCGGAGGAGCGGGTTTCCCCACTTGCATGTATGATGAAGATTGAGGGAACTGTGTCTAAGTCACCAGTGACCCTTATCATAAACCCCTCTGTACCAAGGTTACATCTGCGCGGCCGCGCGTGGACAAACAAATCCCACGACAAAGACCTCGAGGAAACAGTTTAAGCGGATGATTGCTTGACGGGTGCCAGCTTAACCCAAGAACCGCACAAGCGATTTCACACGTATTCTACATAAATGACAAGCCAATCAATGAAGGAGTATAAAAGAAGCAGCAGGCAAGCAGATGCATTATATAGCCCTCTGCTTTCGATGGACCCAGGCTGCGGCCAGGCACGAGTACAACTGGACCAGAGTCAGCAAGATTCAAAATGATTTAATGCATCAATGGGCTCCATACGCCTAGAAATAGTCTTGCAAATTCAAGGTGTCACCGAGCATGAATCATGAGTTTACCACCGCTGGAGTCTGCGGCTTTTTGATTCCATCAATGATGAGCATCGAGGTCATGGGAAATTTCAACCTCGGCGAATAAATTGAGCAGTCCATTTCAAACACTTCCAAATTCTCAACCTTGCTCGAGGTATTCACAATGGTGAATAGAATACTTATGACATCGTTTTTAAATGGCACAGTGTACATAATCTCGTACTCGACTAACATCATCGAGGCTTTTCCACGCCGCGAGACCAACCTGAGTGCTGGGCTTTCAGATAAGAGCCTCCGGACGAAGGCCCTTGGCAGATCAAATTCCTCCGTTGTTTTCTTTCTTGCTTCAATCGATCAATCCTTCACTCATTTACCACCACTTAGCCATACATAGCTCCAGATCATCGACGTTCTGCTTGTCTTTCTATCAATTCTCAGTTGAAGATGAAGAGTTTCGCCCTTTCCGTTATGGCTTCGGCCTTGGTTGCTGGTGCTGTCGCCGACGTACACGTGAAACGACAAGCGGAGATCCTTGCAAGCTTGCCAGCTTGTATCCAAAACTGCTTGCTCACTGCGTTCTCCGAACACGGCACTTCTTGCTCACCGGTACACCCAGTTTCTCATTCTGACCTTGGACTTCACTGTTCGAACAAAGCTAACGAGGTGCCTTGGTCTGACTTTCGCCAGACCGACTTTGCCTGTCTCTGTGTATTGCCTGACTTCATCGCGGGTTCAGGCAAATGCTACACGACCTGTTCTCCCGCTGATCTAGACGCTGGGATGGCCTTTGGAAAAAAGGTTAGGCATCAACTCTTTGTAGACCTCAGTATCATGAGCTGACTTCCTATTAGAGCTGCGGATCTGTTGGCGTTACGCTCCCAGATCTTCCCGGTGCTCCGGCTGCTCCTGCCACTCCGGCTGCTCCTGCCACTCCGGCTGCTCCTGCCACTCCGGTTGCTCCAGTCGCACCAGTCGCACCAGTCGCACCTCCCACCACCCCTGTGTCCATTCAACCCATACTGCCAGATTACCCCTGTATTTACCTACCGAAGTCCATGAACCCACTCGCACACAATGGAACTGGTTTCAATTCCACCGGCTCCAACTCCACCATGATGAATATAACCGCTCCCCTTACCTTCAATGTCAGCATTGCTGGAAGCGACCACGGCCACCACCTTGGACTGAACATCAGCACCTGGCACGGATTACCTGTGTGCCCTGAAATTATGAACGTGACATGTGCACCCACCACGCCGGTATGTTTCTTTTCTCTTTCCCTACAGTTTATAATGCTTCTTCTCTCCCCCTGTAATTTGTAATGTCAGTCTAACTTTCTCGAATGTGCCTCTCAGGTGACCCCTGCTGCACCCGTAGCACCCGTAGCACCAACAGCCAACACTTCATTCGCTGCCGTTGAAGCTACCTCATCTGCCTCCAAGAAAGAAGTCGCCATCTTTGCTGTTGTCGCTACCTCTCTTGTCGGGTTCTTCTTCATGTGAACACTTGATATTCAATCATGTGATCCTAAGCTGTTTTTGAATTTCTCGGACTTCAATCAACAACAGTAATTTCGACCTTGTGACCTGCAACTACTTTGCTAATTACCTTTAGATTACATGTCTTAATGCTCCGCTGTTTGAGATGCAATTAGTCTTCTCTTGTGACGCAATCTTGTGTGTTTATCACCAAAATGAGCGTAGAGTTCCCCATATCCAAGCTGTCAGACAGCATTTAAGCTTAACTAAGCCCCTCTATCGAGCGTGTTTGCCGCACCCTTGTAGAGGAGCTTATGAAATAGGCCCCGAGTTTGACCTGAGACCAGTAGGAATTTTGAGCTCTTTTGCTCAAAACCCCATTTTGGGGGTTCTAAACATCATGCAAGCTCACAAAAAATTGAAGAGAGCTCTGTAGAAGCCTTGTACACAAGCTTGTACCACTTTCAGCACCACTTTTTTTGCGCAAAGCGCCTCATTTGAGCTATTGTAAATCAAGGCCTTATTCTGACTTAGTAAGTCAGACCCACATCTCAATGGAATTTCATCCTATTTGATGCTTGACCCCTTCAACATCACATGATCATGGAATCCAATTTTCTCACAATCTACAATTGGTGACAGGATAAACCTGCTACAAGGAGACGTGGAAGATCTTGAAAAAGCTCTTCTCAATTGCTTGTGAGGTTGCACAAAGTTTGAAACCCCCAAAAGGGGTTTTAAGCAAAAGTGCTCAAAATTCCTGCTGCTCTCAGGCCAAACTCAGGGCCTATGTCATGCGCCCCTCTACAAGGGCGCAGCAAACGCGCTTAAGCTTAGACAGCATTCATTGAAGTCAAAGAAAATTGTTATGGCTATACGTAGGCACAAACAACCTGAGCATCGTTGGATAATGTATCACCTGCTATAGCTTCCTTGCAAGCATCTGGTATGGTACTGTAAAGACTCCAGTGATATTTACCAGAGGAGCTCAAGTGAGTTTGCCAGTTTCTCTTATTGGAATACATATGGTAATCATGGAGAAATGTTTATTGGGTCAAGACCTTCAAGCTCTAAAATGTAGGACAACATTTTAGATCATTAGTTAGTGTCAAAATTGTCACAATGAATCGCTTATTGATTGCACAAAGGGTCAACAATGCATGGTTGTCAAATGATTGGACTGTAAGCGAGGTACTGTTTGAATGCAGGGGTGGTTACGTGTTGTCTTTGTCTTAATTTTTCTTCTATATATACTTGTGAGGCTTGTCCCCTTTGGATTTCTTTTTCCTCACCTTTTGGGAAAAAGAAATCCAAAGGTAACTATTTCCCTTTATTCTTTTCTCATCATTTTACTATGTTTTACATTCTGACTTATTGTTTGACAATCATCTCTCTTTACTTACTTTAACCCCACTTTACTAGTTTTATTTTCCTTATCAAACCCTTAGGTTTGCTTATATTTTTGATCTCTTTGAGTCTAGTCAGCTCGCAGGCAAGAGATCTCATTTATTTTATTTTTGTTAAAACCTTTAACACAGTTCTTCTTCAACATCGAGAGTGTCTCCGTTGTATTCTTTTATCTCTATGTTAGCCAGATGAGCATCATTATCATTATCAATCATTTGTCACAAAGTAAGATGTCGTATAACCAAAAGCTTGGAACCCTTACAGGCGACTTTGTGAGAGTCCAACAAAGCTTGCCACATCCTGGAGGCATTGCCCATATGTGGTCACATGAATGTGTAGTTTGCGGGATGAGAGTAATGTAACAATACCAAGCATTTAGAATTGTTCTGTTGGATTCATTGGAAACTTGGTTGGTCCAGATCATGTAGCTTAGGATTCAAAATGTGACTCAATCCATCACCAATAATCACACCAGACATGGCAAGTTGCCAGTTTCAGTAGTTTGAATTGTCGCCAGGAGGCCCTAGGATGGTCACACCCACAACAGCAGAAGTAGGAAGCGCAAGTGGTCCCCAGCGGGACCCAACAGCAAAAGATCATCAAGACTAGTGGGACAAGTCATGGCCCCTTACCCTTGGACTCAGGAGGAGGTGCAGCCGGGTGGATTAGAAGGGCCAACAGGAGGATTGCCAGACAATGCCATGAGATTTGAGTTGGATCAAGAGAAAATTGAGATTAGGTGCTCATAACCTGTTGCACTGAATCCAATCAAACAAACAAATTATCTTAGTATAAGATATAAAGAAAAATAGTGCTCCAAAAAATTTTATAATAAGATAGTGAAAAGACACAGTCAAATGAGGAAAAAGAAAGAAATCTAGACGGTACCTGGGTTCAGGTTATAACTAGAGAATCCAAAACAAAAAATCATAGTGACATCATATAATGAGTGATGTCATAATACGAATTGGTTAATGAAAAATATAAAAAGGAAACAAATGAACATGTGTAGATAAATGTTGTGAGAATTGCACAACTTTTAAAGCATAACAATAAACCAATGAGAATTCCAACAATTTTTTCCCACACAACATGGTTGCAGCATGTAT